TGAAAGGCGTCGTTCATTAACTGTTAATAATAAGGATTCATTATAAAACTGTTCAATTAGAAATCTACAGCGTAGTTAAATAATAAATCATTCCCTACCATATCTACTATGATCGTGTTCTTCTTGCAAAACATTATATAACCCTTGATCACCCGGTTGTCGTTCAAGTTTTATACGAGATATTTTGTCATGAGAATGATCTGTCTCGTACACACGGTATTTGTCTATACTCGATTCACTCTCAACTTTTCGAGCTTTGGTTTTTAGATCGTCATTAGACTGATCTTTGCTCGGGCTGTAAGAACGTTTAGTTGTCCTATCTATGCCATTTTCCTCTGAACATTTACAGAAACAAAATGTAATTACGTTAGAACCATTATGTGATTTTATCTAATGACGTAAAGCAAAAAGAAATGTAACAAACCATGCTTATCTCCTGCCGTCCTTGAACTTCTACTTGCATCCTTTACCGCATTCATGAATAAACGTGAAGAAGCGGATGCGTTGCTACTACTCGTTCTCCTATAAAATATTAAAATTAATAAAATCGGACTAGATCGTGAATACTAGCGCGCTAATATATACAGACCTTTGTGAAGACCGTCCATTTGCACTTCCAATAACCGATCGTACGCTTCGTGGTTCAATAGCTTCGCTAGAATACATTCTTTAAACTGGAGTATTATATCAAATTTTAAAATCTAATGAAAAGGTTCTTTTGTAAGGAAGAAAAATATGTAACAACGTACAAATTGTATTTTATATATATATCAATTATCAATGCTAGATCAGATGATAATGATAATGGAAAATTGTAATGATGCGGCAAATGTGACGAAATGTCATACTTGGCCAATCAAAATTGCAGAATCAAAGTGAATGTCTAAAAAATTTAATTATTTGAACTGTTTTACTAATATCGATATAGATTTGTCGCGCAGATCAGGGGATAAATTCTTTACCGTTACTATGATAATATTTTTACTATATACGTATATAGTTGGTTTTTTATCAAAGAACTGTAATTTTTTTATTGGTTTACCATCACGTGGCAGAATTATTTATCTATTATTTGATACTAAGCTATAGTAGATAGTGGAGTATCTATTAGTATAATTGCTTATAAAACAGTTCAAAAACTAGGACTCAAGATCAAACAGACCTTTACAAGTCTTATTATTTCTGTTACCAGAACTTCCTCTCAATTTTTAGAAATTATCTGAGATTTATTTATACAAATTGAAGATGCAATTATCTCTATTACTATTAAAGTAGTTGTTGCTATCTTTTACTCTATATTTCTTAAGAATAACTGGTTTAAGAAAATAGTTACTATTCTTTTTTTTTTTTTTTAATCAAAGCTAGCCTCTTTGGCTTTGTATTTTTATTAGATATACTAGGGATTACTGGTTGTCGCTGAAGGGTCCCAGATATAGTACAATTCGACGAGAATATACATGGACATACATACAACTTTAGTCATTGCCTATTTAAGAGCTCTGCTATATTATTATAGTTACCCTCCATATGTCATACCTAAGATCCGCTTGTAGATCCTCTATTTAAACCCTCTGATCTTGAACCATCCTATATTAATCCAATCTAATCTCACCTCGGGCATGAGGTACATAGTCATTCCATGCCTTCCGGATCATTGTCTGTTACCTATAGGACAACTATTTCTGGCGCATCCTTGAGGTATCACTTGCTAGAGCAGTCTGATATCTACTATTTTCGTAATATCTAGTCTTTTCAGTAACTTACGCCGAGTCTGAGGACAAGTATCTGTGAGCCGAGGCTACTACTGTTACCTACTTAGCCCTTATAGAGTTTACCCAAATCCCAGTACCTCCTTTCAAGTCTACTTGGTACCTTCCACTTTCGGTATCATCCTAGTTAATCTTCCCAAACTACTAATCCAAATGGTCTGGGTCGATGCTCTGGTGGCCTGGTTGGTAGAGTACCCTTGCCGAATACCTGGTCCTCGTTCGGTTATATTAACCTCAGGTGTATCCTATTCTAGTAGTATTGTCAAAGATCTGTATTACCTCTCTATTTGGGACTTCTCAAGCGAGCGCCTACTGCCATATCGGCTCTGTGGCTTTTTGCAATCTGAAGATTATTTGTGTAACTTATATATCACACAAAGGCCCCAAGATCTTCCAGTTCTGATGAATTGGTATAACCACAGTTACAAGATCTCGAGTTTTCCTGGCCATGATGATAGTTGCTGAATCCGTTTTTCCAAATTTAATTTTTCTGTCTTCAGTAGGAATTAAACTTGTACTTAACCGTTTGGGATGCAACAATTTCACCACTTCACTAAGTTACCACACCCAAGTAAAAGAATTGTAAATACTATACTCTTATTACTTATAAAAATAACCAACCACTTCTTGTTTAGCCTATTATTATTAACTTAAAAAATTAGATTTCTATGAGCAAGAGTATCTTATCTCTAAAAAAGTTTATATATTTAAAATCATTACTAACCTAGGTATAGATAACCCTAATAATTAAACTATTTATCAATCTTATTATCATTATACTCAAAATTCTTCTTAAATATATAAAAATTATAGCTCACCTGTTTATTTACTATATTTGCTAAATATTTTACAAATTGTTACAACTATTATCAAAGAATCAAACATATGGGGAGAAGTCAATAGAAAAGGGACAAATCATTTTTAGTAAAATTTTTTTAATTTTTAAATTAAAATATCTTAACAAC